AATCACGTCTGATATCGGTGACGATCACGGCATGAGTGCCGGTCCTTTTCGGCGACGGGAACACGTTGGTAGCGGGGCCATGTCGGTTTCGGCAGTCTCTTCCTGTCACGTGAGTCTCTCTTTCGCGACCCTCTGCGCCGTAGGCGGGTGGCGGTAGTCGTGAGCCCCGTGATAACGGGCGCGAAGTTTCAATTCCACAGGGCCTGGAGATCCTTCCGCCCTCGTGATTCCGGAGCGAACTCTGGCAGTTAGAAGACTGGCGCCTCTCCTGCGCCCATCTTCGTCCGGGTTCTTGGCAGGGCCAATGGCTCGCTCCGACGACTCTGTAAAACGAACTGCAGTAAGAGGGTTCCGTGGCAGGGGAAAAAGAAACAGTAATTACGTGACTTGTGCTCCTGTCTTGCGCTGAGTGTGTCTCGATAGCCTCTGGTCCTTGGGGTCCTCGTTGTTCGGAGACAACGTTTCAATACAACTCCTCCGGACAGTCGCCGTCCCTCACTTAGTTCGGTCGGCTAATGACCTAGTTGCTTAAATCTATTGCAGAATTTAAATCGCGAAACGTGGCAAAATCGGGGATGCGCTCGCCCTCGAAAATCGGAGGATCCACTCAGCCTTTGCAGTCGGGCTAATGAGCCCTTGTGATGGACGTTATTGAAAAACGTCACGTCACAATATATACATATACATACACTATACATAAACATTGAATGTTACTATATTATTATTATATGATGTTATTACAAAGAAGAATATTTTATCATAGTATTATTTGCTTATAATGACATACATATAACATTTTCAATTCAATTGAAACACTAATTCTCATAAAATGTTTCCTTAAACACAATTAATTTTTATATATAATTTTTGTTAAATTAACTAGCGTTCTCTTTCATATGGAGTACAATTTTATATATTAGCTTGTTACCTAGCAGTAATTATGTCCTGACAATAATCATTCATTATATATTAACAATTATTTATTTTAGGATTATTTGGGCGATGGTGGTATTCGTGTCATTAGGTTGCGCTATTGTTTTAATAAAAATAATTTGGAATTATTACGCCAGCCACCCTACTTTGACAGTCATTGAATCAACGCATCATGGAATTTGGAATTATCCATTTCCTGCAATAACGGTGTGCAATATTAATCGTATATCTTACAATTTAACGAAGAAGTTCGTCGAAAATTTGTAAGTATTTGGCGTTTTAAGGTGTTGTGTGTATATAATAGTATTTGATAAAATCACATTTTATTTTTTTTCATACTATTTATAATGCACGATCCTATATACAAAAATCATTTTTTTCTTCACTATATTAATTGCATTTTTTACAGAAAAACACCAGCCAATGTTTCAAAAGAATATTTAATTCAAGAAATGCGGCTAATAAACGAATTATTAATACCAGGATTATCTGGATATGATGTTCAAAAGAACCTTACTTATTTACAAGATATTTTAGATGACAACAATTTGTCTATTCTTAATGTAATGAACTTGGTATGTGTTTTGGAAAGCTCTCGAGTTGTGCCACAAGAATATGTAATGAAAAATGGGGGGTTCCATTTTAAAAAGTGACTTTGTCCTGATCTTGACAACGCCACTCAGGGTCAAACCAATGTTATCATTTTATGTCCCCCTTGAAGTCCCAACACTTTTGTTTGAAACATTTTTCCCTAAAATGCACTGTTCAAGAGATATTTGTGATCGATTAAAATGGGACACCCTGTATATTCCTCTGTCACTGAGTTCTCGCGCCTAAACAATACTGAGACCCAATAGTAATAGTTACACAACAAGAATCGCACATAAGAATTAAGATTAATGAAACTTCTCAATAATCGTGTATATTTTCAGACAGTATCGCTTACAATCTTAGTTTTTAAATATTACTGTATTTTTCAGCAAACGTTACTATTTTTTCAGTAAGCATCTACGAATTTATTAGACTAAAAGTAGAGAATGAGCGAAAATTCAGAGATTATTACGCGTTATCAAACGTGTTTTATCATTGATCACATGTTTCAATATTTAACAGTATTATAAGAATAGGTTTTAATATAGTATGTTACTTACATATATTTTTTAAATTAATCCACGCAACATTTTTTAAAACTTTGTTAGAAAAAAAGCCTGCTTTTTGAGGTTATATCTCTTGTGGATTTTATTGAGGGATAGACAAAATCGTGATAATTAATAAGCGATATATTTCTTGTGAACGAATACCCCAGTGAGAAACAATTTGTCGACCCGACGTCGATTCGACGTCGAAAAGTGGGTTCGAAATGAGATCGAAATTGACATCGACATCGATGTCTTTTTGACTCCCACGTCGACCTCCTGTCGATTCAAACTGCGAAATCGATTTGACATTGATCATAAATCAAAAATCCTGCCCAAGGAGAACAGAAAAGATCAAAATGACATAAAAATAAGATCAAATTTTAGTTTGTCAAAATAATGTCAAATTGCATAAATTTTTGATGTATTCTTGATCATTCCTTGAATGAGAAATA